CTGTAGCTTTAAAGGAAAATCTTGTCACATTCAGAATTCAAACTTCTGAAATGACTTTCAATATCCAATTATTACGTACTGTTTCTGGAAATGCTTTTTCATTTTAAACATGGTAACGATTCGCCTCCATAATATAGTGAAGCTTTCCATCCAAGAAGAAATTTCTCTTTCTTGCTGAAACATGGTGGATAGTGCCGTTTTATATAGGCTAACAAGCGGTTGTATTCCTCTGTATCTATTACTTAAATGCACTTTTCTTAACCTTCCCAATATGTTATGGACCAAGTTGAGCAGTTTCAATTTGGTGTTGATAAAAGCACAGATTATCCTCTCTTTATAGCTTGATGATAGTTTGTGACTTTTCCTCATCTGGGGTCATGAGCTTGTGTGTCGTGGTTTTTGTAGTGCTTGTATACGAAGGTTGTGTTGGAGGTAATTTGGACCCACACACTTTAATACCAGTAAAACAAAATCTAAATAAACATGTCTCTTTGATATGCTTAATTTTGATTTCCCAGTTATTTCTTTTCTGGTTGCGTTTTTACTTTCAGACTCAGGTGTGTATAAAGGAGAACATTTCTGAATCATTACTTCAACTGAAGTCAAACTGGGTAAAATATATACATGAAGATATATATTTTGCATTTAATATTTCTATCATAAACACAGTTAATATGTTGTGATATATTATGCAAATATTATGTACATATTACATATTTAAATTGTATATTATTATTCAGTATTTTTAAGGATCGTACTGTGATCATGAGTATTATGATCATAGATGGAAGATTTATTGTAACGTGATTCATTTAAGGAAGTAAATTTATTATGTAGTATTTCTATTAATTTCCTTCGTCAAGAATTTTTGTCAGATCAAAATGGTTCTTACACAACTCTTAACTACAACCACAAGTCTTTTATTAATTTTATGCCAAATGGGAAAATTTGCTCTTTAATTTAAGCTCATGTGTGTTATTATATATCACAAGACATGTTTGTAAGCCAAAAATTAAAAGGTAGGACCCTGTTCGTCCGATTTAGACAGGGGGAACTAATTATGGCAGGGACAGACAGCCTGATAGAACATGTTCCCCCTGTTAACTTTACAATAAAATGGTTTAACACCTCTAAAGTTTCAAGAATACTTTGACATCATAAGACATTTTTGTAACATAAAAATCAAAAAGGTGGGACACTGTGTGTCCAATTTAGCCAGTGGGGACTAACTATGGCAGGAACAAACAGCCTGATATAATCTGCAGCAAACACTATGCTTGATTAAGTTCAAGCCTAGTGTCTAAACATAATCCTAAGAAAGGTATATTCCTATACTGGATGTGTAGAGTAGATGGAAATACCAATTCTGGCAATGAAATAAAAGGCTGATGTTGGAACAAGCATTGTTTATTAAAGATCGTAAAACATACAGAAATTATAAGTCAATATAAAACAAAAATATAGATTTAATTACTAAATTTGACATAGGAAAAAGTAATATTCCTTCTGGGTACAGCTTACAAAAAGTACATGTACTATTTGTGCTATATAATCTTCACACTGTGTAAACATATTTCAAGGCCTAATACATAATTAGCAATGTAAGAGAGAATATAGTAGACAGGGTGTTTGAACCCTAGCACACATGGAACGCAGAGGTCACGTTTGCAAAAACAAGATCTTAACTGGTGACCTTTATGTAGGTTTTTGAGATGTTGGCAAAAACAGGAGACAGCCTTTTCCTTTTTAAGTATCAGAGCCACAAACATACATTCAGACATGATGGTTCAGAAAGGTATACATAGCTTAAAGGACAATCCAGAAGAAATGTCAACATGTACCAGAGGTGTCAAAAGTATTCATGTTTATTACTCAATTAGAAGTATTCATCCTACTGTTTATTATCAATTTAAGCTTTTCACTAAAAATTGTAAAAGAACAATTTTTTAAAAACTACTTCAAACCTAATGGTAAAAGAAATGCAGGAAAATATAATATGGCTTTGCAGTAACCAGTATAAGGTTTGACCTGTCCTTAACAAAGGAATATTTTCTACAATCCTGGATGATCATTTCCTTTTACTTATTTTTCTTAGTTTTATGACTAAGTATAGTTGAACCGTGTAAAATTAAACAGCATCATCTTGAAAATCTATTTATTTTTTAGACAATTATTCCTAAAGCCACATCGCCAGACAGGACACAGTTAAAAAGAAAAAAAATCTATTTATTTGGTACGTAGCTAAGAAAAAGTTGGTGCTATCACAATGAAATTGTCTGGATGAAAAACAAATTATATAGATGTTTTTTATTTTCTCTTTCAAACCATCAGGCCATAATGACAATCAACTTAAACAAAACAAAACCAACAATTCTATTTTTAAAAAGGAGTAGAAAGTAAAGATATCTGCAAAAAAAAAAAAAACTAAAGAAAAGTTAAAACTTGTTTAAAAAATAATTACTTAAGGTATAGATAGCCAAAACTTTTAAATTACAGAAGTATTTGTACTTTGTTACTTGATACCTCTGACATCTATTGTATTTAAAAATGATCAAACTATATCAGTCTACAAAGCTGGTCACAAGTAGAGATCGACCAATACTTTTTGTGATATTGCTTTAATTTTCAGTTTTAATTTTTTACACTTTGTTCCTCTGCTTGCATGATAAAACTGACAAAGATCACATGTTTCAGAAAAATAAAACAATTATAATACATTTAGAAGAAAAAAGGGAAAAAAAACATCCAGCCAGAACAATAACAGTTTATAGCAATGGAGGGAGTTTCAATGCATGCATTCTGAATGATCTGAGGCATGGCTGATGAACGCACTAATGAATTGGACAACGCATGAACTTGCCTGGCAATACAATAAAAAAAGAACACAAATATCAGCTGCAAATATTGGCTGACCGATGTATTGGTCTATCTCAAGGCTAAAATTTACAAACATTGCATAAAAAAAGAGACTTGAAATTATTTGCAGACTTAATATTTATAGAAAATTTGATCTGATGCATCTGTACACAGTCATATATTAACACTTATATTTCTTCCCGAGCTATAGTGTGTTGGGATATATTGCCACAATGGAGCCAAATCGATTTGATGAACCACATCAAACCCTCCCCCTCCCTTTTCACAAAGAGAACAAATAAAAGTTCTGGAAAATTCCAGCCCCAACACGGCCAGCTCACACATTGACCAATCAGCTGACAAAAAGGCTGGAATCCCAGCAAGAAATACCCCTACGTCAGGGGTGCTCAAGTCCAGTCCTCAAGAGCTACTATCCTGAAACTATTTCATGCAACCATTTTCAACACACCTGAATCAAATAAGTGGCTCGTTACCACGCCTCTGCTGAGCTAAATGAGGGGATTGAGGCTTTAGATTCAGGTGTGTTAGAGAAGAGATGCATCTAAAAGTTACAGGATGGTAGCTCTTGAGGACTGGACTTGAGCACCCCTGCCCTACGTCATTCAGGGTTTAAATCCAAGCGTGGAAAGGAAATCGGTCCGTTTCCCTGGGTTTCATCGCCTGTGAGGAAATGCCCAAATTTCACGTGAATTGCAAAGTCAATATTTGCCTAGAAAATGAACGTTATCCCACAAAAAACATTTCAACGTCATTGCAGCCCTGCCTTAAAAGGACCAGCTAACATGGTTTCAGTGATTGCGCCATTAACACAGGTGTGGGTGGTGATGAGGACAGGGCTGGAGATCAATCTGTCATGATTAAGTAAGAATGACACCAGTGGACACTTTAAAAAGATGCCTGTGCTTGGCATCATTGTTTCTCTTCTGTGAGCCATGGTTATCTCTAAAGAAACACATGCAGTCATCATTGCACTGGACAAAAATGGCCTAACAGGAAAGAGAATTGCAGCTAGAAAGATTGCACCTCAGTCAACAATCTATCGAATCATCAAGAACTTCAAGGAGAGAGGTTCCATTGTTGCCAAAAAGGCTCCAGGGCGCCCAATAAAGACCAGCAAGCGCCAGGACCGTCTCTTAAAAGTGTTTCAGCAGCAGGATCGGGCTACCAGCAGTGCAGAGCTTGCTTAGGAATGGCAGCAGGCAGGTGTGAGTGCATCTGCACGCACTGTGAGGCTGAGATTCTTGGAGCAAGGCCTGGTCTCAAGGAGGGCAGCAAAGAAGCCTCTTCTCTCCAGGAAAAACATCAGGGACAGACTGATATTCTGCAAAAAGTACAGGGAGTGCACTGCTGAGGACTGGGCTAAAGTCATTTTCTCTGATCAATTGTCCCAATCCGATTGTTTGGGACATCTGGAAAACAGCTTGTTCAGACAACACAAGGCGAGCGCTACCACCAGTCTTGTCTCATGCCAACTGTAAAGCATCCTGAAACCATTCATGTGTGGGGTACCGGAATGTCCTCTGAGAGCAACTTCTCCCAAACATCCAAGAGCAGTTTGGTGATGAACAATGCCTTTTCCAGCATGATGGAGCACCTTGCCATAAAGCAAAGGTGATATCTAACTGGCTCAGGGAACAAAACAGAGAGATTTTGGGTCCAAGTCCTGGAAACTCCCCTGATCTTAATCCAATTGAAAACTTGTGGTCAATCATCAAGAGACGGGTGGACAAACGAAGACCTAGGAATTCTGACAAAATGCAGGCATTGATTGTGCAAGAATGGACTGCTATCAGTCAGGATTTGGTCCAGAAGTTGATTGAGAGCATGCCGGGAGAAAGGCAGACGTCCTGAAGAAGAGGGGTCAACACTGCAAATATTGACTTGCTGCATAAACTCATTCTGTCATTAAAAGCTTTTGTTACTCATATGATTGCAATTGTATTTCTGTATGTGCAGAGAACATAGATGTTAGATTTCTGTAATCCTGAATTATTAGAATAAAGACATCATTGTTTAACTTGCAGTTCGTTGTAATTTACGTACGAATGATGTATCACTCAGGCCATTTCCACCTTCTTGTGGTAATAGTTTGAAAAGACAGTGATAAATAGTTCTTTGATTGATAATTAATAGCTCTGCTGATAACCTAGCTTAGGTCAATAAATTGGTGGGAATACCGGGATTTTAACAGCCGATCCAGGAACCATCCAGTGGAGAAAGGCACAAACCCTGGTAAGTAAGCAAATTAAAGCTACAATTATTCAACTAAGAACATTAAATTGATTTCACCTCCTATTTTGAATAAGTTAAATAATTAACTACATCTCCAGTTCTAGTTAATAATTTATTCATTACCTGCAGTATATCGTTTTGCACAACAAGTGTATGGCAGCAGGAGAAATCTAATAAGTACTTGTCATTTTTGTGTTTTTGTATCATGGGCAATATTATTTCTGCCAATGTTAACTAAGCTTCTTCCACATTTTTGACATGCAAAGGTATCTCCCTTGTGTGGGTTTTCTTGTGATTATTAAAATTACTACGATACGAGTAAGTTTTTCCACATATCTTACATGAATAAGGTCTCTCACCTGTATGGGCCCTGGTGTGAACAGTTAAATAACTCATGTTAGCAAAACCTTTTCCACATGTCTTACAAGTAAAAGGTTTCTCACCTGTGTGGGTTTTGTTGTGAGCCTGTAAATAACCAATCTGAGAGAAACTTTTTCCACATGTCTTACAAGTAAAAGGTTTCTCATCTGTGTGGGTTCTGTTGTGAACCTGTAAATAACTAATCTGAGAGAAACTTTTTCCACATGTCTTACATGAAAACGGTTTCTCACCTGTGTGGGTTGTGATGTGACAATTTAAACTTTTCATACGAGTGAAACGTTCTCCACATGTCTCGCAGGAAAATGGTTTCTCACCAGTGTGGGTTTGCATGTGTTCCTTTAAATAAACAGATCTAGAGAAACCTTTTCCACATATCCTACATGGAAAGGGTTTCTCACCTGTGTGAGTTCTCAAGTGAATAGTTAAAATGGCCATCTGAGAAAAACCTCTTCCACATATCTTACAAGTATAAGGTTTCTCGCCTGTGTGGGTTCTCATGTGCTTAGTTAAGGTACCCTTTCGAGAGAAACTTTTTCCACATGTCTCACATTGAAAGGGCCTCTCAGCTGTATGGGTTTTATAATGCCGTTTCAGAGTTCTTTCACTCTTTAAGTATTTCCCACAAATTTCACATTTCAAATATCTTATCTCTTTGTCAGTTTGAGGCATATTATAAGGCTTTTCAGTTCTTGGTTTTCCTTCACTCACTTTAACTTCCTTTGAAGTTAGGGTCTCCGTCAAAATGATGGACTGCTCCTTGACAGGCTGCTCTTTCTCTTGACAACTGCTTTGGTCCTTCTGGTTATTTTTAAAAGCCAAAACGCATAGTTGCCCTTTTTCTTTTACAGACAAGACAGAATCTTCTTCTTTTACTTCAATTAATACAGATGATGGTTTCTCATCTTCTTTATTCAATGGAGACCTTGGTTCATCAACTTCTTCTTTCAGTAGCAAACCTGGATCCTTTGTATCCTCATTAGTACATTTAGACTCTGGTTCCTCGCTTTCTTCTTTGATCAGAGAAGGTTCTAGGGGCTCTTTTTCTTCTTTAATCCATGGAGGTCCCTGTTCATTTTCTACTTCAAAAGGAATATGATCTGATTCCCTCTGATCTTGAGCACGATGAGATTCTGTTTCTTCTTGGTCATGGCTGGACCTCCTCACTTGGTTGCAGAGCTGTTGGATGTCCAAAGATTTGTTCTCACTGGAAATATGGGATTGCATTTGTTCTGTAAGGACAAAACAAAAAAAAGAATCTGAGCATAAGGTAACTGAAGGCATTTAGCACTAACCAATATTCTGTTGAATGTTCTCAGTCCTTCAAGAAATGACAGATTATTGGTTTTGAAAATAATAAACCATCTGAAGTCTAGTTATTGTAGTTAAAACATCATTTTTGTCTGAAGAGCTTCCTCATTATACCTTTCAGCTAAAAGGAAACTGGATCAGTTTTTGCATCCGTTCTGATAGAAATGGAGGATCCCCATAGCAACTGAATGGGCAACTTCAGTCCTCAGAAGCTGGTGTCCTGATACTTTTCAATATGTTCCTGCTCCAACACACTTAAATAACTGATATCTAGAACTCTGGAGAACCTGCATTAGAGGAAGTGATGTAGGCTTTCAGGACTGGACCATCACTATATTAGAATACATTGAACACAGCGAACCTGTATATCAGCAATTCTCTGCAACAGTGCCTGGTTAGTTTGGACTAAAGTAGCATTGAAGGTTAATTTATTTTGAAAGGTTTAATTTCCGTTTTAAACTTACTAATCATTCTATATTTGTGACATCCTGAAGCCAGCTAAACCCTGAGCTGCACAAATTCATGTTTTATGTCGTATTGGACATTCTGTGTATGTGGAAATTCGTCAGTTGGAGGGACATTCCAATGCATACAGCTGTACATTTACCATGAAAACCATCTGTATAGGATAACCTGTGAAATTCTGTCAAAACTGCAAACAAAGCTGCAGGGGGCAGTTGTAGAAGAGAGTCAGATACCTGCAGACAATAGGCTGAAAGGGTGTAGCTTTTAGTATAAGTAGGAGTGAAATAAAGAGATCAACGCCCTGTTCATATGAGCAGTGGTCAGGGCAGGCATAATGTTATTGATCCTCTATATTTTGGTCTTAATGTCAATATTATTGACCAGAATACATTCTGTTAATACCTAAATATGCTTTCCCCCTTTTCTAAATTTCTCTGAAAACCTTCCCTCACAAATTAAAGAACCGGGTTAAGATCAGTAGACTCCAGCTTGGCCGCAGGAAGTGGGTGTGCTGCAGCAACCCCTAGAGGCAAGAGGGGGATTTTTTTTTAAAATCTTAAAACAAATTTTGAAATTTTAGCGCACATTTGTAGATCTGAATACAGGTTTGTGGATTTTTTTTACACATTTGCAAAGTGAATTAAAGTTATTCTACACATTCTCAGATTGTTGTACAGACACACAAAACTCCTCACACATTTTCAAACCCCACTGCACACACAAATCTAGATAAAGACACACAACTCTCTACACAAATTTGCAAATACCGTAAATCCTCTAATATTGGCCTGTATTCCATTAGCAGCCTGGTCTCTAATGTTGGCCTGTGTCGCTGTCGGCGGAGGTAAATAGTGGCCGGACTCTTATATAATTAGAACCAACAATGTTTCTGGGCAGTCCTCAATAACTTGTGATAGTAACACACAAGTACCACAGGGGGGCAATGTTTGCTAACGAATCCAAGCCATTAGAATGGGAAGTCCCATCCTTAGTGCAGACAGTGCCACAGGCAGGAGGTCGGCTTGTTTTGTTTTTATGACCGAAATTGCAGAAAACAACTCGTGAAGTTTGTCTAGCTAGAAGAGCGAGGACGCTTTTCCCACCTTGATCTCCGCTCTTTTTCCCCGACATGTCCCTCCGTTGTCAGACTACTCGCCCCCACTTCCTCACCGCCTCGGCCGTATCTAGACCCACAGTGTATAGCGCTGACCACGCTTCAATACTGAACATAAATCAAAAATGTCTGCGTCAAGCTCACTGCCACACACAGCTGCAGGAGTATAAACAGCCAAACAATCATTCTAATCTGAAAGACAAATGTGATTACCGGTAGGTCTGGTGGTAACCAGGCAGTGTTAAAATTACAGAATGTAGTTGGCCTTCGTTGTTCTGAATTTCCCTTGAAATATATGATACTGGTAGCCTACTTCCACTTAGACTGCCTCAAATAAAATTTTGCTGTGATGGCAGAACAGTCACCATTATTATTATTTTTTTTTTCATATTGCCGTGCAGAAAAATTGCAGCTGCCGGAAGACGTCTGAATAATGTTCTGTACACCGTTATGGTAACTGTACTTTTTCAATAAATTAACCTAGTATTTTATAGGTTCAAAGAGACACAAAATCTCGTTTTTATTCATTCCAGTTGTAGTCTGTTTTTATCAAATAGAAATGGAGGCATGCCTCTAATTCTGGCCTCCTTCCAATAATGGCCTGGACCAAGATGTAGCTGAGTGAAATAAAGGCCCCGTCTTATATTAGAGGATTTACGGTAATATTGCAACAATAATGCCCTCATACCCTTGACCTCCACACTGCTCCCCAAAGGGATGGGTTAAATGCAGAGAATGAATTTAGTTGCTTTGTTCTTGTGACATTGTAATGATAAAGTTGAGTTCCAGTTCTTCCATTCAAATTATAAGATAAACTAAAGGTCATCAATCAGTTCTAAATATTGTTGCGACAATGCCATTTTTACTGTACTGATACCATCAGTTTGAAATTGATGTGTGTGTTTATATGAAGAACTGCATACTACTTGGATGGAAAATAATTGCCATCATGGCTTTGTCAAGCTGCTGCCTACCTCTGTGAAGCAGGAAAAAGACTAATATAAAAGTGAATCCAGTAGAAGTTTGTATTGCCTACCTGGAATGGGTGACAATAGTTGAATAAACTTTTGGCTCTCAAAGTGGTATCGGTGCCCTATTTGTTGGTACTCGCCGATTCCAACACCACTATTTTAGTGCTTGATCGGGGCCCCGTCCGATACTGGTATCAGTACAACACTAGTTCTAAAACAGCATTAGATAATCCCCGGTTAATCCCTGGAGAACCACCAAACCAGATTAGCGCCTTACAAGGAGTTTTCAACCATTCTGTTTAATTTTATCTGAGTCTATTTCCTCCTCCCGCTGCAGCCAATAGTCTGTCTTACTTTTTGTTGATTAGCTTGGGTTTATGTTACATTTCTTGTCCTCATCTTTAGTAAAACAAACACATCAAAGCCCTTTTTTAAATTACTCTAGGCACAAACCAAACGTTTATCACAATGATCAGCCCACTTCAAATCAAATTAATTGATTAACATAGGGCAGCTGCGACCGGTTCTGATAGCTTCCTCGATAGTTTTAAAAGTGCTGGACTCTGCTCCTCATCTCTACGTTTAACAGCTGCCAGCTGACCAAGTAACATCTGTGTCTGTGCAGTCTTTCTACCGTAATAACAGTCTACACGCATCATTTACCCGTCATTCATTACACAGTAAAATCGGGGACATTTCCAGGGCAGCTTAGCAGGGGACAGATTGTCCAAAACGGGGACTGTCCCCAGAAATCAGGGATGTCTTGTAACTGCAGCTCATAGTTCTTTTGTCCAAAAAAAACAATAACAAAAATTTCACAGCAGCCCCTTTTCAAAATTACTTCTATTGGCCCTGGACCCCAGGTCTATCTGTGGCAGAACTACAGGGCTATTTACAGGGAATCTCATGATATAGAACCCTGTTTACCAACCTTTTTTGACATTTGCTACAAGCATGCTTAGTGTGAGGGATTGCCTTCGAGTCAGTGAGTCGAAGTAAATAATTGGTTTTCCTTAGATAGAAAACTTTGAATCAATTTGACTGGATGATCTGGTGAACTGTAAAGTGCCTTGAGATGAAGTGTTGCAAATTGGTGCTATATAAAAAAACTGAATTGAACCTGTGTATCCCTTTGGGCATTTTTTCTTACCATGAGTACGCCCTTCAGCCAAAAGTATCGATGATTGTGGAACCAACAATAACTAATTATAAAATGACTATTTTACCTAATCTTATAATTTGATCATTTCATTCTTATTTTCAATGTTGTCAGGGTGCTGCGATGGTCTGTGTGCTGGTGCAGTCTTTATTTTTCTCCCATTAGCCATACGTGGTTATTCATTTTTGGAGCACCCATTGTCAGTCACAGATCTTTGCCGAGCCTCACCGCCTCTGGTCCGCTCTCTATCCTCTCAGATTTAAGCCGCCACGCCAGTGCTCAATCGATTCCCATCTGACAGTTACCCTACAGGCTGATAGGCCGAGCCCTGCCTAACCCTCTGCCAACTAGCCTCTCTGAGCAAGACCCTTAATCCCACACTGCTCCCTAGGCACTGCACAGTGGCAGCCTACAGCTCCCCAAGGGGCTGGGTTGAATACAGAGAGCTTATTTCTCCATTGTGAGATTTTTTTTTTGTTAAAACAAGGGGACATGCATATTTTCAGCAGCCGTCCTGCCATAAAATGGATTCCTTTGTATCAGAGGAATAAATACTTGGTTTTTATTTCACATGTTCTGCATTTTCACACATGTAGTTTGAGTTACTGGCATAAGTTGTGTGTGTGTGAAACAATTCTGTGTTTTAGAACAGAGGGCATGCCTTTCTATGCAGCCTTAAAAACCAGCCCTACCAAAACAAAACAAAATTGCATGAATTTTTATGGAAATGGTAAAATGGTAAATGTCCTGTACTTATATAGCGCCTTTAATCAAGTCAGGAGACTTGACCAAAACGCTTTACACTAAATTCAGTCATTCACCCATTCACGCACACACTGATGGTGGCAAGCTACATTGTAGCCACAGCTCCCCTGGGGCTCACTGACAGAAGCGGGGCTGCCGTACACTGGCGCCACCGGGCCCTCTGACCACCATTAGTGGACAATGCAGGTGAAGTGTCTTGCCCAAGGACACAATGACAATGAAAGTCGGAGTCAGGGTTTGAACCATCAATCCTTCGATTTCAGGGCAAACTCCTACATCCAACGCCACGGTCGCCCCCAAATGCTGATAATACTCAGCTATATATTCCTTTAGATTTTGTTTCTCCCCATAAACGTGCATTGAATTATCAAAACTTGTAAGAACATATCAAGATTGATTCTTCAGCAATCTACGCAAAAAGCTCAAAATTGAGTTTTAAAAAGTTTA